CCGTTCTTCGTAGCCCCCTAATCATCTTTGATGCTCTTCTCTGCACTCTTTCCAAGTGTCAACATCTTTTTTTTACATTGTGGTGACCAAAACTGGATGCAGCAGGACAAGAAGCAATGGGTGGAAACTAACCAAGGAGAGAAGCAACCTAGAACTAAGGAGAAACTTCCTGACAGTTAGAACAATTAACCAGCGGAACCACCTGCCTCCAGAAGCGGTGAATGTGCCAACATTGGAAGTTTTTAAGAAGAAACTGGACAGCCATTTGTCCGAAATGGTATAAGGTTTCCTGCCTGAGCAAGAGGTTGGACTAGATGACCTCCGAGGTCCCTTCCAACTTTATCATCATCATCATCATCATCATCATCATCATCATCATCATCATTATTAGAACTTCACACAATCCTGATTCTGTCCCTCTGTTAATGCAGCCTAGGACTGCATTGGCTTTTTTGGCTGCCGCCGCACACTGTTGCCTCACATTTAAGGACTCCAAAGATCCGCCTCGCGGTTACTGCCATTAAGCCAGGTTTCACCTCATCTGTGCCTGTACAGTTGGGTTTTTCAGGGTTTCCCAACTTTAAGATACGTAGACTTCAACTTCCAGGATTTCCCAGCCAGCAGGGCTGAATTCTGGGAGTTGAAGTCCACGTGTCTTCCAAGTTGCCAAGGTTGGAGACATGGCAAGGTCATCCTTGACAGAAATGCAGAAATATCACGTTTTAAGACGTTTTCTTCTGCTTCCTGTAGGTTAGCTGGGACTTGATGATCAGCGATGAAAGGCTATAAAAAAGATGGGTGGGTGGAATTTAGCACAACCTTCCAGCAGGGCTGCATCTCAGTCATGGAAAAGTGGTTCCAGGCCCCCCCCTCCCCAGCCCCCCATAATTCTGAGCCAGGCACTCAACTTCACCCTTAGGTTCTTAAGAGACCAAAGCGGCGTGCGTTTCAAAAAAAAAAAAGGCGAACATCAAGGACATCAGAAGCCGGAGAGCGAGGGCTCGCTCTACAATAAAATTACACCCAGACGCCGCTATCAAACGCCAAGCTTAGCGCCGGTGAACTTTAATTAAGAAAACGGATTTACAAGGCTGCGAGATTTTAAAGGCAGAGGCTGTTTCGGCCGAGGATGGGGGGAAAGGAGGGAATTCATTCAGCTTTCTTTCTTTCCTTTCTTTTTTTTTTCCTGCATAAAAAATAATAGCTGGAAAGAAAAAGAAGGAAAGGAAAAGAAAAGAAATCTCCCAGTCAGGAGTTATCAGCAATCGGCATTTTTATACGCTGTTAAAGCCAGGCGGGGCCTGAATTTCCTGGCCTTTGATGTTCTTAGATGGGAACTTTTTAAGATTGTCTGTCTATTGAAATATATACAGAGACCCCCTCTCAGATATTTTAATGCAAGGGGGGGGGGAACCGAGCTGCCTTGCATGCCGACATCCTCACTCCAAATTCTATTCTATTCTATTCATATTCTATTCTTTCCATATTCTATTCTATTCTATTATTCTATTCTATTCTATTCTATTCTATTCTATTCTATTCTATTCTATTCTATTCTATTCTATTCTATTCTATTCTATTCTATTCTATTATTCTATTCTATTCTATTCTATTCTATTCTATTCTATTCTATTATTCTATTCTATTCTATTCTATTCTATTATTCTATTCTATTCTATTCTATTCTATTCTATTCTATTCTATTCTATTCTATTATTCTATTCTATTCTATTCTATTCTATTCTATTCTAATCAAGTCAAGTCTAGTCTAGTCTAGTCTATATTCTATTCTATTCTATTCTGTTCTATTCTATTATTCTATTCTTCTGTTCTATTCTATTCTATTCTTTTGTATTCTATTCTATTCTATTCTATTATTCTATTCTTTCCATATTTTATTCTATTCCTATTCTATTCTATTCTATTTATTCTATTCTTTCCATATTTTATTCTATTCCTATTCTATTCTATTCTATTCTTCCCATATTCTATTCTATTCTATTCTATTCTATTCTATTATTCTATTCTTTCCATATTTTATTCTATTCCTATTCTATTCTATTCTATTCTATTATTCTATTCTTTCCATATTTTATTCTATTCCTATTCTATTCTATTCTATTCTTCCCATATTCTATTCTATTCTATTCTATTCTATTATTCTATTCTTTCCATATTTTATTCTATTCCTATTCTATTCTGTTCTATTCTATTCTATTTATTCTATTCTTTCCATATTTTATTCTATTCTATTCTATTCTATCCTGGGGATTCTCAACCAGAGTTGCTCGCCCCCCCGGGGGTGCGAGACGATATTCCAGGGGGTGCAAAAACTCGGGTTTTCAAAATTACAGT